GTATGTATATATATATGTATGTATATGTATATATATATGTATGTATATGTATATATATATATGTATGTATATGTATATATATATGTATGTATATGTATATATATATATATGTATGTATATGTATATATATATATGTATGTATATGTATATATATATATGTATGTATATGTATATATATATATGTATGTATATGTATATATATATGTATGTATATGTATATATATATATATGTATGTATATGTATATATATATTATGTATATGTATATATATATGTATATGTATATATATATGTATGTATATGTATATATATATGTATGTATATGTATATATTATATGTATGTATGTATATGTATATATATATGTATGTATATATATGTATATATATATGTATGTATGTATATTTATATATATATGTATGTATGTATATGTATATATATGTATGTATGTATATGTATATATATATATGTATGTATGTATATGTATATATATATATGTATGTATATGTATATGTATATATATATATGTATGTATATGTATATATATATATATATATATATGTATGTATATGTATATATATATGTATGTATATGTATATATATATGTATGTATATGTATATATATATATGTATGTATATGTATATGTATATATTATATATGTATATGTATTATATATATATATATATGTATATGTATATATATATATGTATGTATATGTATATATATATGTATGTATATATTTATATATATATGTATTTATATATGATATGTATATATATATTATGTATATGTATATGTATATATATATAAATATATATATATATGTATATATATATATATATATATTAATATATATAATGTATATGTATGTTATATGTATATGTATGTGTATATGTATATGTATGTATATATTTGTATGTATGTATGTTAATATATGCATATATTATGTATGTGTATCTATGTATATAAATGTATGTATGAATATATATGTATATATATATGTATATGTATAAGTATATATATATATATATTGTTTATATATATGTATTTGTAAAGAGGAGGTTTACCTTCATTGATAGGCCATTTGAAATTGTTCCTGAGATTACTTAATACTAAAAGTCCCAATTTGCAGTTAGCAGGTACCAGAAATTTTACTTATAGCTTTTATTTCAGAAGTGTGCTTGGCCATTTGTGCTCTCATGTAATGAGAAGGCTTATTATATTTGTGACATTTAGGTTTCAATAGGAGAGAGAAAGGCTTTTGATTGTTAGGATATATATGATAAAAAGACTAATAAGCTTTTTGTTCCATTTGTATATAAGTAGATTGCTGTTTTCTTCTGGTATGGAGACTGCACAATCACTGCATGCACTTTCTTGTTTATATGACATCTTCTTGACTTAATGTTCCATTTGCAAGTTGTAGATAGTTTCTTATGCACCAAGAAGATAGGCAAATATTAATCTAACTGAAAGAAAGAAAGAAAAAATCAGTAGCTGTTTTTTAGCTTAGAACAAGTAACAATGATGATGATAATGAAAATAATGATGATCATGATGATAATAATAATGATAATGATAATGATAGTAATTATAACTACTAGATGATAATGATTATGACAATGATAATACTAGTAATAATAATAACAATGATAATCACAATAATGCTGATGATAATAGTAATGATAATGATAATAGTAATAATAATAATAATAATAGTAATGATAATAGTAATGATGATCATGGTAATAATAATAGTAATAATATTAGTAATGATAAAATTAATAATAATGATAATAATAATAATAATAATAATAATAATAATAAATAATAATAATAATAATAATAATATATATTATATATATATTATTATTATTATTATTATTATTATTATTATTATTAACAATAACAACAATAAAACAATAACAACAATAATAATGATTTTAATAATAATGATATTAATAACGATGATGAAAGTAGCAGCATTAATGATAGGAATAACAATAGTAACAGTAATAATAATAATTATGTATGTATATATATATATATATATATATATATATATATTATATATATATATATATATAAAATTATAATTTTAAACACATTGTATGTTACCTCATTCATGTATATATGTATGATTTATTCCGTTACAGAAACTTGAAGAAGAATTTGAGAAGCAGTTAAATGAGCAGGAGCAGTTCTATGGAGCTTACTTATGCCGTGGATTAAGTGCCAGCGTTACCCCATCTCAGTCAACCTCTAGCCTTGCACGTTCAAATGCTTCATAACTTGCTCATTATATGGATGTTTTGTTTTGAGTAAGAACTATCAAGAACTTTTCTCTGTTTGCATAAGTTACTATGGAAGCAGTGATTTTCTGAGAATTGAAAAAAAGAATAAAGAAGAATCACAAAAAGTGGGATCAATTTTTTTGTAAATACAGGTAATTACAGTATTTTGAAGCTGAAGCCATCAAAGCATCCACATAAACCCTTTGCCTGGGAGTGAGTAGACACAACTAGATGTAACTTGTGCGAGAACCCTCCATCTCGTAGTTTTATAGTGCGAAACTGAATCTTTTATAGTCCACCTGTTATACATTGCAGATTTACCTCTTGTGTTATTATTATTTTTTTATTTAAGATGAGGGGGAAACAAAAGAAAAATGGAATCCTGTGTTTTGCCTGCTTAGCTATTATATCCTGCATTTTTTGTGGAATGATATATATTATTTTATATAAAGGTGGGATGGGGAGGGAGTCATGATGTGGTAGCAAAGTACATTTAAAAATGTATTATTCAAAGCCTTCATAGTAATCAGTATTGTTATTTTTTTTATTTTACTTTTTAAATTATTTATTACTGATTTTCAAGGTTTAATGACAATCTCAGAACTTTGAGAGTAATAAATTTTCATGCTGATGTCAGTGCAAAGTCTTTAAAAACCACTGAACAAATAACATTGTCCTCAGCAAAAATTAATGTAAGATATGCAGGTATTTACAGTTTTGAAACTAGTCTTTAGATGCATAAATGTATTGGTATTTGGGGGATTTTTCTTAATTTGCTACTGGAAGTCAACCTTTTCAGTATCTGCAAAAAATGTGAATGTTATTGCCATTGCAAAAGTTGCTTTAAAAGCACTATTTATTTACAGTTTATCATAGACAGTTCGCACAATATCATAGATTATGAAGTTCTGAACGGCAGAAGTAAGGGAAATAAAAGCTCAAACTGATTACTCAAGGATGTAAATTCTTGAGGCTCTTTGCAGTTCGTCATTGTGCTATTAAGATTCAAAGACCAACATAAGAACTCAAGAACTTGTTATGCAACCCACTGTGTAAAGTGATAAGTCTTGTGTTAGGAAAATGGAACACTAGAGGAAAACTAAATTATATCTGAATAAATTACTATTTTTATTTTGCACATATCAACTTGGAAATAAGTGCATTTACATATAAGGAAGGTCTGTGAGTTTTGAATTACTAAATGAAAGTGGTCACAACATTAATGATAAAACCACCTTTTTGGGAAAGTGTCAAATATTAGCCTTAAATTATATTTTTTAATCATACTGTCAAAATAATGGAATTGCTTTGATTTAGCTGGCCCTGTACAATTTTAATGCAGTGTAGAAACTTGTACAGCTCCTGTACATATAAGAAAGCTTGGATTGTTCATCCTTTAGATAATATGACTATGTCACTTATATACGAACAGAAATTAAAATTAAGATTGTATGGAGTTTCAATTTGCTTCACATTCTTATGCTGGATATTTATAGAAAATGAATTGTAAGATTAAGAAACTTGCGTGCAGTAGATTTCCATGGCTGTTATGGGAATGCAATAAAGTCACAGTTGCGCAATTCATTCACAAAGCTTCCATCTACAGATAACATAAGTTTGAGGGAAAGTATAAAGTGCTCAGAAGTCTACAGTCTAGTATTATGGATATATGTTTGCTAGAATGGTAAAATATTAATGAAGCACTTAGAATAATTTTTTTGGGTAGTATATTTTCTATTGTAGGTAACTTGATTCTTGTATGCAGTATATCTTTAGGGAAATGCACATAAACTTTCAAATTCCTTTGCTTAAAATTCATTATACCTGAATGCAGCACATAACGTCCATTTAGAAATGATATTACCAGCCAGATTAGAGATTTTGTTTAGCTTTTATAAATTTTGAGAGCTTACCTTGTTTCAGAAGCTTTGATATACACGGCAGTGCTAATTTGGAGTGAGCAGTTTTGGTTAAGAGATAAAATAAGGAAGAGTCACCACCAACCACTCATGGAGTATGATTTTGAGATGGTTTTCATTACCACCTTCAGTGTTTGTGTTGGATGCTGGATGGTTGCTTATCATTGTGAAGTCGGTTACTGTGTTAGACACTTAATGTGATGTAAGGAGTAGCCTATGTAGTAAGAAAGAAAATGATGTGATGGATATATATATTTTTTTGCATATGCAGATAGAATTTCTTATCTTTAAACTTTAGCTATGGTAAACTAGCAATGCCATGGTATTTTGCATCGAAAAACATTAGGTCCAGTTTTCACTTCTTGGACTAGCGTTACCTCTGCCTTTACCTAATCCCAGTCACTCATACTTTGTACTTAGAATTCATTCATTGACCTTTAACAAAGTATTTGTATTAGTCATTCGAATAAGAATCGAGTGACTCTTTTCAGAATTTTATGTGCATATTTAATATAAGTAAACATATTTTAAACTTTACCAAGTCAAAGGGAAATATTTTTTGTAAAGTCTTTATATTGGGAACTGCGGAACTATTCCATCCTGTCTGGGTCAAAACTAACTTTAACCCCAAACCTAGAATTTGATTCCCATTTAAGTTGTAGAACCCCTGTGTGAATTATGATTCCCTCTATTTTATAATTTTCTTGCTTGTTTTGAAGTGATCAGTAAGATCTTACATTGATGCCGTAAAGTACTTTGTAAGGTCTTAATATTGACTATATTATGTTC